CTAAGGGGCCTGGGGCCACAGCCATGCTCGGGCTGCGTGGCACCCCCAGTCCTGAGAGGTGCAAGCAGGCAGTGAAGGCTAGGACAGCCTGACCCACCCATCCAAGCCCACCCAGAGCCTCCTTGAGGCCCGTGCTCAACCACCCCCAAGGCAGTTGCCCCCACAATCTGCCCCAAAGGGTGAGGCTCAAAGATGCAGGCCAGCGGCCCAGGGCCAGCCAGCCCTCCATTTGCTTGCGTGTGCCCTTGCGCGCGCGCGAACACACACACACACACACACACACACACACACATCCATCCCTCGCCTTGTCGGTTCACTCACTCCTCCACGGGGGCGGCACAGCTGAGCAGGCAGCTGCGAGTCAGACTGGCAGAGAGGCACAGGGGCATTCGGAGCTCAAGGTCCCCTGACCCAGTGCAGCCCGGAAGGGGGCGCTGCCTGGGGCTGAGCAGGGCACTCATGGCCTCAGCTGGCTTGGGCACCAGGCAAGCTCCCCCAGGCCTGGACTTGGCCTTGGTCAGAATGGCTTTCTAGAAGTGCTCCTGGCCACCATGCCTGAGCCTGGGAGCAGGTGGCCCCGGGAGGTCTGTGGCCCTCTGGGGCCCCTGCTGGCCTCTGTGCGCCTCAGTCTTGCCTGCTGGTCCTGGCCGGCCCAGGAGGAGGAGCCGTGGTGAGCCCCAGCACCCGGGCTTCAGCGGCCCACCCATCCTGCCCAGTGGGCCCCTGTGGGTAAGTATCTCGGGCTTTTTCAGATCAGGGAAAGTGCCGGCCTTGGTGGGAGAGAAGCGGAGTAAAGGGGGCGCTCAGCTGGGTCCTGGGAGCAGCGGCCGGGAGGGCCCAGGTCCCTCTTCCTGCCTGACAGGAGCGGCCAGTAGGAGCACCACAGAAGAGGCGGACAGGGGTGCCATGTGTCCAGGCCACAGTGGTGTGCGCCAGGGCCACGCTGTCCCACCCCGGCTTCCTCAACAGCCCACCTTGTCCCAGAAAAGGCCCGTTCCCTTCTGGCCCAGAGCAGCAGCGCACCCTCCTGGGGCCTCTCGCGCCCGTCAAGGTATGGGCCCTGGAACCCACGGAATTCCACAGGGACTTCTCTTGTGACTTGTAATTAAACACACTCTCCAACCCTTTATTGAGCACCTACTATGTGCCGGTCTGCCTGCCCCAGGAGCCCCTTCAACCAGGGAGGTGGCCCAGGGGTCCCTGGTTGAAAACAAAACCCTCAGAACTTGATGGTGTTCCGGGTTCTGTGGGGAACGGCTGGTCCTGGGTGCCGACAGCTGGCAGGGCTTGGAGGACAGCTGGTGGCCAGAGCCGTGGGCACTGCACGCGGGCCCGCACCTGGCAGATCGTGGTGGCGATCAGCTGGACCAGCTCTGCAGTATCGCCGCACGCGGCTCTGGAGGGCTGGCCAGGCTTCCCCCCGGCACGGTGGCTGGTTCCCTGAGTGGGCAAGCGGCCAGGAGCCGGGTGGTGTGCCTGGCATTTCTGGGTCTCGAGGGGCACTGTTGGCCCAGCCCGGCAGTAGTCTGCTGGATGCTGGACAACAGGACACAAACACCACGCCTGTTGTAGCACTTTTGGGGGACAGTCTGTGAGAGTTGGGGGTCTGAGGGCAGAAAGTAAACCAAAAATAGTAGGTGAAGTTTACAGTGTATCAGTTTCCTGTTGCTACTTAGTGACCACACTTAACACAGTTACTATCTCCCAGCTTCTGTGGTCCGGTCCTACACGACCGGTGGGGTCCCCCCAGGGTGCCAGGGTCTCTTCTGGAGCTTCTCTGGGGAAGGACCCTCCAGGCTCCCTCAGGTTGCTGGTAGGACCACTTCCTTGAGTCCTGACTGGCCGGGGAAGGGGGTGTCCTTGGCTGCCTCTCCCCCTTGGTGGCCCCACCATGGAGTTGGATGTCCGTAAGCCATGTGATCACGTTCGGTTCTGTGGTTGGAAGTGGGTCCCAGGTCTCGCCAGACTCATGGGAAGGGGCTCTGCCGGTGCAGAAGCAGCAGCATGGGGTTGGGGGACACGCCATGATGGGCCGGTCCCCTCCTGCAGCCGGTGAGGTGGAAGGTCAGCAGGAGCCAGAGCGGCCTGGCCTGATGTGGGGAGGGACGGGAGCTCCAGTGACCTCCCTTCTGGAGGTAGGGCACTCTTCGTGAGAGCCCCTTGACCACAGCGGGAGGAGAGGAGACAGCTCTGTGCCCTCTCTCTCTGTGGCTCCGCGGCTGTCCTGGCTGCAAGGCCTGCCACCTTCCTGATCCTTATGGTCGCACTCCCTCAGAAAGGTTGTGCTGCCCAAGAGCCAGTGCCCGGGGACTAGATGGGTCAGTTTTGTCCCTGGGAGGCAGCTCCTGAGCTGGGGCAAGTGGCCATCTGGCCAGCCACCTGCATGGAAAAGAGGGGAAGCTGCAAACCTCCCTTAGCCAGCAGGGTTCAGCTGGCCTCCCCTTGGCCTCACTCCCTTCCCCAGGCCATTTCTTCCTGGGCTCAGTGGCCCACCCCACCCAGAAGCCCACCGTGCGCTGGCCTCCATTTTGGGGACGTGCACCCAGCAGCCATGGCAGGGGAGAAGGGGGCAGGTGCCTCCTTGGGGAGGCGCCCCACTGCCACCGGCACCCCTTCCCCCATTCATGGCCCCTCCAGACCCACACCTGGGGGTTCTGTCTATGTTCCGACGCCACCCACACCCCCACGTCAGGCCCCCCGCCTCTCTGAGGCGGACACCTGGAGACCCATAGGTGTGGAGCTTGGATGTGAGCCCCAGCCCCAGGTCCCCTAAAGGAGAAGCCTCACCCCCAGCTGGAGGGTCGGCAAGGGATGCTCTGCTGCAGCACACGCTCAGCCCACGGGGTCCACTCTGCTGGGCACATGGCCCCGGGGTCCCACCCAGACCATGGGTCTTCCTGCTCCACAGGCGGCAGGCCCCTCACTGCTCCTGGTGGCCGGCCCCACGCAAGGCCGCAGTCCTGGAGCCTAGGACCTGCCACGTTGGCAGTGCAGAGGCAGCCCTGGAAGCAGGGAGCGAGTCCAGGCAAGGGCCGGCCCCTATTTAGTCTGGAGGGTGGGGAATGGCCTGCACCTTCACCCTCAAGGGTCTTCCCTGGCAAGAGGAGCCTGGAGTGGCCAGTGGGCACCCTCAGCTCCCTCTGGGAGTGGGGATGTCAACCAGGCCATCTGAATAGGTCCCCAAGTGGGTCATGGGGTGGGGGGTGGGGGACTGAGCCCAGCAGGCAGGGCAGCCACTGGCCTGGCATCTCCCACTTCCAGGTCACCCGGCCCTTTCTGGGCCTTGCCAGCCTCCAGCTGTCGGGCTGCCTCTGGGCTGCAACGTGCGTGGGCAGTGGTCTTGGGCCCACTGCCTTTGCCACCAGGCCTCCCCATGTGCACCCCGAAAGCCTTGGCCTTGTTGGAGGGGGGATGGCTCCCTCATGAGTGTGGGGCTGGGAGGGCCGCCCCTGGAGAGCAGCAGCTGTGCTGGGTGGGAGAGTGGGCGTCCGGCAGGCAAGGTCCAGATACCCACCACGGATACGCCTGCACACCTGGTGTGCTGCTGGCGCCCCCTGGAGGCCTGGGGAGTGGGCACCTGCACTCACTGTGGAGGGCATGCAAGGTGGGGGGGGGGGTCTGGGCAGTCACAGCTCTCACTGGCAGAACCAACAACCGCGTCCTGGTCATTCCATCGCCTGTGGAGACGCAGTGTCGAGGGGCCTCCAGGGAGGAGGCAGGCAGCCACGCGGCCCCAGAGGCTCTGCAGCCCCTTTGTGGCCCTCAGTCCAGGCCCCATGGCTCCGGCTGGGCCAAGGCACCCGCAGGGGTGGCAGGTGAGGACTCGCGGCCCTGCAGACATGCGGCCCGGGGGGCTGTGCCAGGGTGAGGGAGCTGCCCACGGCGGGCACTGCCGGCTCCTGACTGGGTGGGAGCCTTCGCTCCACTGACTCCCCAGATGGTGGAACTGCGGAACCCACTGCCTCGGGCCCCGGGGCCTCTGCAGGGCAGTGCTCCAGCAGGAACACAGCAAATGACCGCCCTGCTCTGCTCCATGGAGCGTCTGGTGTCAGATGCACCACCAGCCCGTCACTTCTGGGGCTGGTGCAGAGATGCCCCATATCCCAGGCGGGCTGGTGGAGAGCAGGATTCCCAGACCCTCGGGTCCTCAGATGGCCTGGAGGAGGTGTGGCATTCCCCGCTCTGAGTGTGGGCTGGGCCCGGGAGGGCAGGTGGGGTTGAGTGGGTGTGCAGCACCCCCACCTCCAGGCAGAGGGTGGAGCTGCAGGCCAGGAAGCGAAGGCCCGGCCCCCGGTGCTTGGTCAGGGTCAGGGTCAGGGTTAGGGCGCAAGGATGCACAGGGAGGCTGCTGGCCCTCATCACCAGGGAGCCACGCCCCTTCCTCTGGAAGGAGCAAGAAAATACCTGGAAGGCCCCGTGCCCCTCGTCACACCAGACCTGTCCCAGGCCCCCAAGCTGAGGCCACAACCCTCAGCCAGGCCTCCCTGCGTCCCTCTGGAGACGGAGACGCCTCGACAAGGGAGGCACACGAGCCTGGACTGGCTGCCTCCTTCCACGGGCTGCCCGGGCCACCTGGCCGGAGCCACTCTCTCAAGATGCCCAGGGGTCTCCGGAGGGGACTTCAGCCTGGGGGACTCTGGCCCCAGCCTGTTGCGTCCACATCCCCAGGCTTCCCTCTGGCCTCCCAAACCAGCGTGGCCACTGGGGGACAGGCTGCAGCGACCCTCGGGGCTGGCTTAGGGCAGCAGGGCGAGCTGCTGTTCCCACCCAGAGGCACTGGGAGGAGGTGCTGTTCGGGGCCAGAGCCGCAGGGGCAGGTGGGAGGACAGGGCGGAGGCCGCTGCAGAGGCAAGACCGGGGTGGACTCTGCGGCCAGCCCCCCGGCCACCCCCATCTTCTCCCCACTGCCCTCAACCTAAGGACCTCTGAGACCCTGCAGGCAGCACGCGTGCGTCGGAGCTGGCGGCACAGTGACAGCCAGGACAGTGTAGAGACACAGGACAGAACCTTTATTGCTGAACACGAATCCCCTGCCGGGGCCTGGCTGGCGGCCCCTTCTCCAGGCAGGAGCTGGGGTGGGGCGGGGCGGGGGTTGCTGGGGGCGCACTAACAGCCACTGCCCCACCCGCAGTGCCGAAGGGCCTGGGGGAGGTCCCTGCCCCGTCCCCTCAGGGCAGGGAGTTGGGAGCAGTCCCCGGCAGGAGGCTGAGGACCCACAAGTGGGGGAGGGAGGGGTACAGAGGGACTGGGGGTGGGGCAGCTTGCAGGAGAGTGAGGCCCTGGGCTCCCATGGGTCAGGGAGGGCTGAGAGCCAGGTGGGCAGAGGAAGGGCCCTGCAGCCCCCAGGGACAGCTTGGTGGCAGGCAGCCACCCTCCGGGGCGGTGGCAGCAGCAGGTGTAGCCTCCTTCGGGCCGGGGGCGCGGGGCTGAGGTAGGCGCGGGCGGGCACCCGGGCGTCACAGGCGGGGTTTGATGTGCAGGGGCTTCCCTGTTCCGAGAAGGGCGGAGGTCAGGGACCAGAAGGCCCTTGAAGGAGGGGTGTCCCCACCCCCAAAAGCTCTTGATGGAGAATCCATTGACCCAGGCCTGCACAGCAGGGTCTGCTAGAACTTGGGGACAGTCGCTTTGGACAGGCCACCCTGGGGCTCGGCTGCCCCCCAGGGCACAGGCCTTTGGGCTGGGCTGGCCCCGGGCAGCGGGCAGCGGGTGGGCTGGGCAGGACCACAGCGCTGGGTGCCAACTGCACGCAGACCCGGCCCAGGCTGCCAGACGTGCACGTGGCGGCCACGCGGCGCCTTCCAGGGAAAAGCCAGGGTGGGTGTGAGCAGGTGGCTGTGTGGGGAAAAGAGCCACTGAGGTCCCTGAGCAGGCTGTCCGCAGCCGGGGGCCAGAGGATGGAGAGCCAGAGCCCCGCCTGGGGCCCCACACTCACAGGGCCACTGCCTCCCCCTCCCACGAAGCCGTCTCACAGGCCGGGTTCCCGTGGCCCAGGCGCCTCTGTGCAGCCGCACATGGGTGGGAGAGTCCATGTACCCCTGCGAGCCCACCTCTCCTCGTGGGACCCCTCAGGGCCAGGGCCCCATCCACCTGCTCAGCTAAGTCCAGAAGCCAGGCCCAGGCGAAGGGAACCCAGGCCTCTGGCCTCGACCCCTCCTGGGTGGCAGCTTGAGCAACTGCAGCCCCACCGCCTGCCCTGGGGCCCTCCCAGACCCACCCCCACCTGCCCCTCCACCCCAGGCCCTGGCCAGGCCGGGTGCGGCCTGAGCAGCCTGCCCCGGCCTCCCCAGCCGCCTCCACTGACCCTGGGGTTGGCGCCAGGTTCTGATCTCACAGAACAGAAGAGGCAGCTGCCCCAGGACCCCCACATGCCTCCTCCCACCCTGGGGAATGAGGCGGCCTGGGCCGGGCCCCGCCCGCCTGTGGCCGGCGTCTGAGCCTGCTCTGCGGAGCCGTTAGAGGCGGCTGCAGCAAGCATCTTCCATTAACGTTACGACCGTGAAATATGACAATGAAACGATGGCCGTATGGTCACAAATTTGCAGCCCGCCGAGCTGCGTGGGGTTTATCGTCACTCTAACGCGCGGAGAGCTGTAAAATGTTTACAGAAAGGGTCGTTTGCAGCCATAAAACCCTCCTTTCTCTCCTAAACAAGGCTGAGTGGAGCCATTTACCAAGCCCCAAACGCTCATCTGGGGAGGGAGCATCTGTTCTCTCCAGGCGTGTGCTCCGATCTTCCAGAACAAATTAACAGAAATGGGTGCTTTCTAATTAAATCAGCCCTCAGCTGGGGCCGTCGGTGCACGGACCCTGCTGCGCTCGCACCTCGGCACCCGCCCGCCCTGCAGCGGCAGGTGCTCCCGCTGGCCTCTCCGGAAGCGTCCAGCCCTCCTGGAGACTCTGACTTGGGGGGCAGATGTCTCAGGGGGGCACCGAAAGACACCCTAGCCATTCTGGGCTCTGGGGGCCCGCTGCCTACCTGAGTCCTTGGTGGGGGGGCTTCTGGAGGCTGGGGCCCTGGGCTGGCCTCCGGGGCTTGGCGAGGACCGCAGGGAGATGAAGGCAGGCAGCTGGGAGAGGCTGCCAGAGCCGGTCCGTGCTGAGGCGGCCTTCTCCTGGAGAAGGGGCTCCCCCTGGTCTAAGGGGGGGGAGGGGGAGGGGACACAAAGCGGAGAGGGGGAGCGGGAGGGGGAGGAGGGGGCCTTCGATGACAAGGGCCGGGCAGAAGCTGCAGCTAACTCCCGTGTGGAGGAGGAAGGGGGGGCCGGGCCAGCAGCCACAGAGGTGGAGCAGCTGGACGTCTGTCTGGCGGGGTGCTGGGCGGCTGAGGGCCTCCTGCGGGGAGGAGAGCAGAGCAGCAGTGTGAGGTGGGATCCAGACTCACTGGCTGGCCCCCAGTGCGAGGCCCCTCCCCACCCAACCTCACTGCCCCCCGCACCATCAGGCACCATCCGGCACCACCATCTGGGTCAAGGCCAGCCCTCAGGGCCCGAGGATAGGCTGGTGACATCAAGGGGCCAGAGAGGCTGGCACCACACTGACTGTCCTTGCCTTTCGGAGCCTGCCCCTCGTCCGCACGGGCCCCTGCCTCATGTGGCAGGGGGCACAGGGCGTCACCTGGGTGCGGCCCAGCCCTGCCCCGGACAGTGGAAGTGAGGGGCTGATCAGCCCCTGCCTTCCTCCCAGGGGCAGGGCACCAAGTGACCTTCACCTTCGGGTTGAGGTCTCTTCCTGGGTTTGAAGACAGAAGAGCTGGGTGGGGTGGAGGGGCTCCCCAGAGGGTCCCCACACCCCGGGATTGAGGGTGCTGCTTCCGGACCTGCCCTGGGGCTCCCACACGGCACCCACTTCCTGCTCACCTGGACCCATGGCTGGCAGAGGCCCTGCTCCTGGAGGGCGAGTCGCTGGGCCCTGGGGCTGGGGCCGCAGCTGCCCGCCGGCCGAGGTGCTTCTGGGTGCGATGGAGCAGCTGGCACTGGGCGCCCCGGGGGCAGGCGCCCTCACGGGAAAAGTCCGGGCACAGCAGCGTGTGCTTCTTCTTGCACTGGGGGGAGATGGGCGCAGCTGGGCAAGGCCCCGCACTGGGTAGGGCGGCCTGGCCAAGGCTCAGGGCCCAGGCTTCCCGCCAGCTGGCTGAGGCCCCGGGCCGCAGCAGCCCCACCGGCTGTAACAGGCGCCCCGAGCAACCCCCAGGCCAGCACACGGCCCTGCTGGGGCTGTGGGTGGGGTGGGGGTCCTGCCAGGCTGTGTGGGGTTCCCGGGTTGCTACCCCCTCCTGACCACAGCTCACCCATCCTGGAGGAAGAGAGGGTGGGGGTGGGGGTGGGTGACAGGAAAGGTGGGAGTGGGGGGCTTGAGGCCTGGGGAGACCTCACTGGGCAGGGCTCAGGCCTCAAGCCCAGGGCTGTGGCGGGTCAGTCCAGGCCACCACACACCCGATCCACCACACCTGTCACCACGGCTAATTATACCCCCGGGGGGCAGTGCTGGGGGGTGCAGAGCTTCAACGCCTGCTTTTCCTGGGCCTGCCCACCACCCCTGGTGGGTGCTGCAGGCCTGCTGTGCACCCCCTTCCACCGGAGGGGTGCCCTCCGCTCCCGCACCCTCTGCAGCTGGCTTAGGGGCAGGACCTGGGCGGAGAGGCTGGGGTGTCAGGAGCCTGAGGGCCCTGACCGCCCCTCACGTGAGCGCAGGCGACAGGCAGCTGGGGAGGAGCCTGCAGGCAGAGCTTAGCTCAGCTGGTGCCAGAGCAGCGGTAGCGCCCGGGGCGCACTCACACACCAGGAGCACGCGGCCCGGAACTTCCCTCCTCAGACTCGGTCCCGGAGCTGGGACCCTGGCCCCGCTCCTCACGGCCAAGGCTGCGCGGGGCTTGCCTGCCCATTGTCCGAGCAGGGTCTGTGCACTGGGTGTTCCTGTGCCCACGCCTGGCCCCCGGCTGCCGCCAGGGCACGAGAAGCCACGACACTGTGCAGGGAGGCAGGCTGGGACTCTCAGGGCCCTGGACACTGGACCTCACGTCGTGTGCCCCTGTGGGGGCCAGAACCACTGCTGCCCGAAGCAGAAGGGGGGCTCAGGCTGTGGCTCCCTCCCTCCAGCCGCTGTGGCGGTGCCACAGCCCCTCTGCCCTGGGCCGGGCCGCTGGCAGCATCTCGTGGGTCCCAGGCAGGGGGCGGGCAGCGGTGGCACCTGCAGCAGGGGTGGGGCCTTGTGGGACAGGAGGGCGGTGACCGGGAGGACCTCCGGGTGGCGTGGGCTCAGCACCAACAAGGGCAGACCACGGCTGCAAGCCCAGCCCATCCTGTGGGACGGGACCCAGGCTGCCCACCGGCTTCTTCCCTTTTTAAAGACAGCCACTAGGAATCCCTAAATCTCAAATGTGGTTTGCACCTGGCTGACCTTCCTACTGACCATGCTGGTCTGAACTAGCCCGAGGACAACTGAAAACGCCTGGTCGCACGTGAAGAACCTTCTCACATCGGCCGAGGAAAGCAGAACGGTGGCAGGAGGCCCCTCAGGACGCAGACACACGAGGGAAGGGGTGAAACCAAGCAGAGCCCCCCACAACCGCCCCAAAGTTCTGGAAATTAAGGTCACTGGTGAATAATTCATGAAAATTCGGTAACACTCAGAACCGAGTGAGGGAAGAACAGTTCATTGGAACCAGGCGGGGGGGGGGGGCCTCGAAGTGGGAACGCCGCGAGCAGAAGTGGGCCGGGGGCAGGGCCAGGACAGGGCCAGCTCTGCGCAGACACTGACCGCGTGCCCCACGCGCAGCACGGGGACTCGAGAGGGACAGCAGCCCGAGCTGTGGCCACTCTGCAAAATGCAGATGAAACCTGCACATTCTGGAAAACTGGACATGAGGCCAGGGGCAGCGGACCGAATGCCCGTGTGGCCGTAACAAGCTGGGGTCAGGAGTGGCGGACCCAGGGTGGCTGGCCTGGGCCGTTCCCGGGGACACCAGCCCCACAGACCCCACAGCTCAGCCGAGTTTATGGGGCAGAATGATCTTGAAACCAGAACCTGAGCAGAACCAGGCGCCCAAAGAGCATCTCGGCCACCTCCTCCAACGAACGAGGAGCCACATCCTCCCTGAACCACCGCCCCCACGGGCCTGCTCTCTCCAGGTTGCGTGGCCGTCCAGGCCTCCTCCCGTCACTCACCCCAAGGCTGGTGAGCAAGCCCACTGTGACCTCCTGGAACCGAAGGCAGAACTGCCGGAAAACCAGGTAAAACCCACTCAAAGCCTGGGTGGGAGCTGGCAGTGCTGAGCCAGGGCTACTCCTCAGCTGTGGCAGGTGCCAAGTAAGCAGGACATCGATGGCAGGGAGACCCGCAAGGTGCATGGGACTTGGCACTGTCTCCGCAAGGTGTCAGCAAGCCCGTAACCACCGCAAAGGCACAGGCGCACTGGCCACAGGAGCTGACGCGCCGTCTGTGCTGGGCCTGGGCAGCGAACCAGCCCATGCAGGGGACTGGGGGGGGCTGGGAGGGCTGCGGGTGCCCTGGTTCAGGTGCTGCCTGGACTCACCTGTACGTGTGACAGGCACCAGACGTGTGACAGGAGCTGATTGAAGGGGAGGGTCCCAACAGCGTGAGAGGGATAGTCAGAGGGCAAGATTCTGGCAAGGGGTGCCCGGGGGGAGCAAGGGAATGCAGGTTGGAGCAGAGAGCATGCCCCACGCAGCCGCGCACCCGCCGGCTGAGCCCCAGCAGGAGGCCGCCCGTGAGTGTCTCGGGGCCGCACACTCACTGCCCTGTGGACACCCCCGGAGATCAATTCCAGGAAAATAAGCACCAACTGGCCTAGGGAGACAGAGAAGGGGCCACGTTTCCTGGGAGACAGGGCGGACACTGTTCCCCTGTCCCTCCACCGAGCACTGTGTGCAGGTCGGCTAGGAGACCCTGGCCGGTGGACCACGGGCCGACAGCCAGGGACCAGGGGACCAGGGGACACGCAGGCACTGTGGCGGGCGCCGGGACGTCCTTCTGCCTCGACACCCTGACGGGGAGCTGAGGAAGCTGCAACCTGGAGCGTCACCAACGGTCAGCGGTCAGCCAGGACCAGCGGCAGCCTGTCCCTGCGGCCCCGCCGCCCAGGCCGGGGGCTCCCAGGAGGCAGGGAGGCTGCGTGGGAAGTCGGGGCCACCACAGCCAGGAGCAGCGGGGATGCCCTCCTCAGAAGTGGGTGGGGGCCGAGGGACGGGCCGAGACACACGGCGTAGGTAAGATCCAGACCCTGACAGCTGCGTTTCCACGGAAAATGACCGAGTGCACGAAACACAGTTTATTCTTTATCGTTCTGTTACCGTTTTTAACTGTTGTGTTATTTTCCATGTAAGTAGCTCGTCCTGCATCTGCCCCGCCCTGCATTGATGAACTGCTAGCAAAACAGATGAAGGAAAAGAAAACAACCGCACGCTTCCACCCGAGAGTGAAATGGGGGTGCCGCAGGCACCGGAGGGCAGCCTCCACGTGTGGCGTGCTCACCGGCTCAGAGGGGACAGCCCCACGTCGCGCACACACGGTCTGCCACCTGAGCCTCCGCAGGGAGAAAGGCCGGCTACCAGCCGGCCTCCGAGGGGAGCCCCACCAAGTGTGTGGGGACTCAACACCCCTCCTCCTTGAAGGCCGGCAAGAGACCCGAAGAGGAGGACGCACGCCCTGACTCTGAACAGCCAAAACGGTCCGGGAGGCTGGTGTCACCCGGACACTGAAGCCCACGTCACTGTGCGAACAGGACCCTGCATGTTCACATTCCTGGCGAACGCAGATGCCCTGACAGACACGGGACGCGGAAGGGCCACATGCCACAACCCAGCTGGAGTTACGCTTGGAGCGCAAGGAACTCCGTGTGGCCGGTGGGATGGACCAACGGGCTTAGAAAAGGGAAGGGAAAACCACGATCAAGTCCACGGAGGCCCAGTGATCGGGCCACACCCAGCGACTCTTCAGGACACAACACTGAGGAAACCAGGCAAGGGCAGGAAGGGAGCAACCCCCCACCAGCAGGGCCAGGCGAGGGCGCCCCCTTGTGCCGCTTGTACTCCACCAGTGCTCAAGTCCCTGCACAGCACCTGGGCAAAAATAAATGAGTGAAAATAAAACGACAAGCAGCCAAATAAAAAGGGAAGAAAATGACCAGCCAGCAGACGAAGAACCCACAGAAAATTTGTTAGAGCTGCCCTGACACTGTGGCTCAGTGGGTCGGGAGTCCTCGCACAAAGCAAAAGGTCGCGGGTTGGATCCGGGTCAGGGCACGCGCCTGGGCCAGGTCCCCGGCCCAGTGGGGGCCACATGAGAGGCCACCACACACTGATGTTTCTCTGTCTGTCTCCCTCCCTCCCTTCTCTCTAAAAATAAACTTAAGAAACAACAACCCAGAAACAAAAATCCATCCAAAAAAGTCACAGGGAATCTCTTGGAAAAGAAGAACAAAGAAGAAAAAAGTTGAAAAGACTGACATTTCTTGATTTTTTAAAAGATGTCTTTCACTGGTACAACCACTATGGAAAAGAGTATGCAATTTTCTAAGAAAACTAAAAATGAATCTGCCTTTTGACCCAGCAATTCCACTGCTAGCATTATATTCTAAGAACCCCGAAACACCAACCCATAAAAGCCTATGCACCCCAATGTTCATAGAAGCACAATCTACAACAGCCAAGAGCTGGAAGCAACCTAGGTGCCCGTCAGTAAATGAGTGGATCCAAAAACTATGGTGCATTTACACAATGGAATTCTATGCAGCAGAAAGAAAGAAGGAGCTCCTACCCTTTGCAACAACATGGATGGAACTGGAGAGCATTATGCTGAGTGAAATAAGCCAGGCGGTGAAAGACAAATACCCTATGATCTCACCGTAACAGGAACCTAAACAACAAAACAAACAAGCAAGCAAAACATAACTAAAGACATTGAAATAGAGAACAGGCTGACAGTGACCAGAGGGAGGGAATTTCAGGGGAAAAGGCGAGGGTTTACAGGAACAAGTATAAAGGACACATGGACAAAAACTAAGGGGGGTGGAAATGGGAGGGAGGTGGGGAGGGCTGGGGGGTGGGCTGGGATGGGAGTAAAAGACAGAAAACTGTACTTGAACAATAATTAAATTTAAAAAATAATAAATAAATTTTTAAAAAAGAAAAAATATTTCATTTACTTTTGGAGAGTTGGGGGAGTGAGAGAGAGAGAGACACTGATGTGAGAAATCCCGACCGGCTGCCCTCTCGCCCTCCCACCCAGGGACCGGGCCCACAGCCCAGGCCCAGCTGCGGGGGGTCCAGCCAGCGCGGCCTTCCCGTGTGTGGGATGGCGCCGGGCCCGCGGAGCCGCAGCGGTCAGGGCGCATTTCCTGATCCCTACGCTGGTTACACAGCTGTGGCAATACAACACCGGCCTGGGACAGACACACAGAGCAGTGGGTCAGGACAGCGAATCCAGACGCGAGCCCTCGCGCAGGGTCGGTGGACTCTCAATAGGCGCCTGGGGCGGCCGGTGGGGAGGGCGAGTCTTTCCGGCATCCACCCGCGCCACGCTGAGGTTGGCTCTCCCTGACACCACCCACGAAAATCAACTCAGAGCCGGTCAAAGACCTAAACTTGAGACCTAAGACCACAAAGTCCTTGTGAGGAAAGACGGGCAAAGCCCCGTGACGCTGAGGTGGACAAAGCTTCCCGCACGTGACACCAGGGGCACAGGCAGCAAAGGGGAAGGGACAGACTGAGCACCCAAGGCCGCCGTCAAGAGAGAGAAGACCGCTCACGGGACAGGAGGGTGCGTTCACCAACCCTGTCTCTCATGAACGGTTACTTTCCAGAGTCTGGCTGTTTCCAACTTATAACTGGGCAAAGGGCTTGAACAGACATTTCTGCAGAAACGACTCACCAGTGACAGAGCGGCATGTGCAGAGACACTCAGCACCCAGCTCGGTTAGGACAATGCAAACCGGAAGCACCCCCTGGGCCCCCGGGATGCTATGAAAGAGGGGGGCCTGGTGGAGCCACAGGCGCTGACCCAGGTGAGCCAGCAAGGCTGTGTGAACACGAGCCAAAGGCCCACCTACCGGCGAGAGGACGACAGGCGGCCCGCCCACACCTGGGCACCGGCCGCCTCCAGAAGGAAGGCCGCCCTGACACCACGACAGGCAGCCCTGCAGCAGGCGCCGCCCAGAGGAGCCAGGCGTCTGTGCACCACGGGAGCCGAGCTGGGAAATGCCCAGAAAAGACAGCGTCGGGCTGACTGGCGCCTCGGGCTCCGCGGGCTGCCGGAGGCGGCCGCACAACCCCGCAGACACGCGGGGAGCCCGAGTGCCGCACTCCTGCACCGAGGGACGGCAGGGCCCCTCGGTTGTGCCTCCACACAGCGGCTTGTGCAGGACAGCACCGCACGCCAGGGAGGAGGGTGGCACTGCACGGGCAGTGCAGGGGAGGGGGCTCCCCACGTGAGAGCACCGGGAGGGACCCACAGTGCCACCACAGACACAAGGCAGGGCTGTGAGCGCCTCCAAGTGGACGGGGACAGTAAGAGTGATGAGCCACTGAGCCCAGGCGGGTGTCCACCAGCACTGGGGATGCGGCAGAGGAGGGGGGCTCTTCCTTAGTGCCCCCAGCAGACGCAGAAGTGACGACGGCAGCACAGGACAGACGTGGAGCCGTCACAGTGGTGGGTGGGAAGGGGCGCCCCGCAGTCTCTCCAGGACACGCACACTAAGCAGGAAGACGACACCTGGGGCATGGAGCCATCAAGGGGCACCCACACGTCAGCACCGCGAGAGAGCACCCTCACGGGGTGTCGGGCCCCAGGTGACAGGCCTCCCACCCCAGACACACCCTCCCGGTCGAGATTACGCACGGGAGCAGGGCGTGCTCTTCAACGAGCCGGCGCTTCGGGAGGCAAGGCTGACACTTGCACTTGATTCAGGGCAACGCTACCCACTCCCTGGGGCCCACTAGAGGACTCGCACTCCAGGCGCGAGGTGCCCACTCAGCACTTCTGGGATTATTTAGAGAATCGAGTTAACCCTCCCGGTCCCAGGCCGCCGCTGCGCCCGCCAGGCCGCCTGCTCAGCGCTTTCCCACAGACAGTTACGAGCCGCTATCCATCATCCGGAGCCCGCACGCCGAGAGGGGCTCGGTAAGCACTTCCAGCTACAGGAGCAGAACTTAAATATGCTCTGACATTTCACTTACACTGTGATCTTTTACAGTGATCATCCACGTTCTCCATGGGGGTCCCACCTGATCCCTGCCACCTGGGCCCGAGCGTGCACCAAGGTGACCTGTCCGCTCTGGTCAGGTCCCCAGGTCTCAGCCTGGAGGCAGGAAGGGCCTACCAGCTGCAGAGAGCTGTGCACAGGGCCAGCCCTGCGCTGATGCCTGAAGTCCACCCTCGTGCCCCCCACTTCCCAGGACCCCCCCACCCAGACTGCAGGCCCCTGAGCAGACCATCAGGCTGCCTCCTGGTGTCCAGGGGCTAGAGACCCCCCGCACAGGTGCCCAGGCCGGGGCCACAGAACTCACATGGCCCCACCCCACAGGCCTGAATGGGGATAGGGAGGGGAATGGGACATCGCCGTGGGGCATGGAGCCAGTCTGCTCAGCGGGCTGGAAGCCACACAGCTGCCCGCACTGCCCAGGCCACCTCGGGGGGAATGGGCTGCAGGGAAGGCGCTGACAGCTGGAGGCTGCCGACTGCGCCCCTCACCTTGGCACCAAGCGGGCAGTAGCCTTTGAGGAAGTCGGTGCAGACCTCCGCCTTCCGCGACACGTACACGTGGCTGTAGGGGCAGCTGCTGTTGCTGCAGACCCCCCTCAGGAAGTAGGAGCACACGGGCATCTGTGGGGCAGGGGTGGGGGGGAGAGTGAGCACACGCAGAGCCCCCTCCCCCCGTCAGGCATCCGACCCACTTCTCAGGTGAGAGTGCTGGGACCCCCTGCCTGGTGCTCCCAGCAGACTGGCCCGCAGGAGGGTGGCCAGCAGCAGCCTTGGGGACCGGGGACCGGGGGCCAGGCCAGATGAGGGCTGCCCACATGACAGGACAGGGAGGCAGGCAGGCGGGCAGCCACGCCCTTCCCGGTGGCTCAGGCCCAGACATGCGGCCTCCCGAGTCTCCCCTGCTCAGATCCCAGGCTGCTGGGACACATGTAAGGGGCAGGCAGACCTTCCAGCAGCCTAATGAGGGGGCTCAGCAGTGTCCTGGGCTGCAGACCTGACTTGCCCCGCCCGGAGGAGTGGTAGACAGGCCACTCACTCCCTGGGAGCAGCCCGGGTCCCTGGAGGCTCTGTGGGGGTCTGGCTCCTGTGCCCTGGGCAGTGGCAGGTGCCCAGGGGAGGCCTGGTGAGGGCCCTGGGACAGGCAGCCTGACAGCACTCCCTGGCCCCAGGCCGGGACAGGAAGGTGTGTGGGCCACTTCCTTCCACTGGCAGAGAGGAAGGCCTGAGAGCGGCGGCAGGCCTCCGTCTCCCCAGCCCGACATTGCCACTGCTCCAGGAGGCTCCTGTCCGGGCCCCAGGCAGCCCTGTGCCCAGTGGCCCCGCGGGACTCACACACACACCTCCCGGGGCCTCTGCAGGGGCGTGGACGGCGCCCCACTGGTATTTTTCTGGGGGGAGGGAAGGGAGGGGAGAATGAGGAAGGAGAGGGAAAGCAGAGAAACAAAGGGCGATTTCGTGCCCAAGTGTGGGTTTATTTTTAATTGTCTTCTAACTACAACCCTGAGCGGAGAAGGGCTGGCGGTGGTGGGGCTGCAGACGAGCCCTTAATGTGGCTTTTGATCTAGAGCCCAAATTAGCTCTAATAAAAAGGATAATAAAGCCAACTCTATAGCAAACGGAGCTCCTCCTTGCTGTCAGCAGGACCATTATCCCGAGGAATCGTGTCCTCATTTCAATTAACCTCATCTGCACCCTCCGTGTCCGCACAAATAACAATAACGTTAATTCAGGGCGCCCGTGCACCAGACGCCGGGACGCACGCCGGCTTCGGAGCTGGGAGCTAATGAACCCGAAGTTCGACGTGAATCTGCAAACGGCTCACAACGGAGCCCGGAAGGTCTATCAGGGAAAAACGCTGATTCTTTTCAAGCTCCTCAAGGGGAAAAGCTGCTGTAGCAGCATCGCCTCGGCCCCACCCCACCTCCCTAACCACGTCTCGGCCCCCACTCTGCCCGTTCCCAGGTGCTCCCCAGCCAACAATGACCCCAGATCTCAGAGCTCCTGCCCTGGTGCTGCCCCCGCAGGGTCTGTGTGACGGGAGGGTCACCCAGAGGGCCCGTGACTGGGGAGTCCCCAGTACCCCATGTCCCCAGCTGCCCCTTGCCCACCCAGGACTGCACCCTGCACCACATGGGCCCCTGGGGCTGCTGACCAGGCTTGTGGCACAGGGCAGGTGGGGGTCTCCTGTGTGGCAGGTCGACACCCTCCAGGTTGGCTGCAGTAGGAGCTGGCCGAGCGTGACAGCCCCCACGTGGTCCCGCAGCTGGCTCCTCACAGACACCAGGGGACAGGGGTCTGTGTGTCCCCAGCCCAGGGAGAACTCAGGGCAGCCCTGCCAGGAACACACCCGCCGAGCTGGGGCTCACCTTCTCCTTGGAGACCTGGTGGGAGAAGGGGCAGGTCCCATCTGTCTTCTTGCACGTGCCCCGGACAAACCTGTGCAAACCGTGCAGCGGGCTGGTGAGACCAGGGGCCGAGCTGGTGGGCCTGAGGTCGGCCCCCACCTCAAGACGCCCCCCGGTGGGTCACCTGGTGCACACGGCCACCTTCTCGGGGTCGTGGATGTAGGGGCAGCGCTCGCCGCGGCCGCACCTGCCGAAGCGGTTGTAGTACATGCAGTACTCCTGCCCCGTCCGACGCTGCCTCTGCCTCGCCTGCCGCACGATGGCCAGGCTGCGCTGCACGGCCCGGCTGTGGGCAGCAAGGTGGGGGGTGAGGCTGAGGATGCGCAGGGCCCCGTCCGCGCAGCCCTAGGGATGTACGTACCTGGCCAGCGAGCGGCTACAGCTGCCAGTGGGGTCGGACCGGCCTGTGGAGAGAGGGCCCCGGTCAGGCCTGGCCGCCTCCCTGAGTTCTGTCCGCTCACCTGTTCGGCACAGGCCCAGTGGTCTCTGCCCTTGGCTCAGATACTCCTGCCCCCTCAAGGGGGCCACCTGCCTCCCCTGCCCTCAGGCTTGGCCCCTGCCAGGCCCCTCGGGGGCACATGGTGAGGGAGGGGAGCCGCCGGGCCAGCCCCACGCCCCGTCCCCTGCAGAGGAGCTGCAGGGGGTGGCACAGGGACAAGAGCTCTCCCAAGGCCACACTGGTAACTCTCCCACAGGTTCCTCTTGGGGCAGGAGGTCTCAGGGGCATGCGTGCTGGGGGCCTCCCTGCCAGGCCCCTCTGCCTCAGGCAGAGCCCGGGACAGGTGGCCTGAGAGCCCTGGAGGTGCTACCCGGCTCTGCTGTGGCCAGAATGGTGTCTACGTATGTAAAGGGCTGTAGAATCAAGACAAACAGCAGCAAAGGGGTGTGTGGCCAACAAGGTGTGGCCTCCTCACACCCAGGCTGGGGGAGCTGGGCCCACCGTGGATGTGGGGCCTCCGTGGGCCCAGCAGGCAGCTGCCTGCTCCTCGAAACCATGGGGTGCCTTGGAAGTCACCCCTCAGAGCCTCAAGCACAGAGACCAAGCAAAGTGTCTCCAGGTCACTGAGTTTGGCCCGAGGGAAGCTGCTCACACAGTGGCCAGTGGTGACAGGCCAGGGAAGCGGAGCCAGCCCTGCGGGAGGAGGGGCCGCACTGACCCACAGCTCTTGCCTGTCTTTTAGACATGAGGTCACCCTCCCAGAACCCAGGAGGGCAGGGCAGGGCAGGGCAGGGCAAGAGTCTCCTCCAGATGGCCACCAAGTCCCCAGTTCCACACCCACGCGCGCGCGCACAGGCCTTCCCAGACCAGCTCCGATTTCCCACAGGCAACTGCTGAAATGGATCTGGTGGCAGGAGGCAGAAGTGATATCACTCAGGAGTTCTGGGGACCGGAGGTGATGACAAAGCATCCAGGCTGTAAAGGGCGGTCCCCAGCCTGCTGGCCCTGAGCTGCCCCGTCGGAGCCGCAGGAAGGCCAGGCAGGTGCCCCCTGCCGCATCCTCCCCAGCGGCCTCTCCCAGGGCCACTGCCTCCGCCCCGCCCCCCAGCCCCTGTCCAGCAGCTCTGACATGGCCCAGCCCGCCCCAGACTGCCGTGCCCCCACAGGCTGGACCCCACAGTGCCCTTCCCCACGTCCCACCTGCTACCAAGCCCTGACAGCTCCTGGGCATGTCCTGTGCCCCTCCCGACCCGGCCCCCACTGCCTGCTGCAGCTGTCCCTGCCAGAGGCTGCGCTTCTGAGCCCCATCTCCGTGGATTTAAAAAGGGCATCTCAAGGCTGCACAGCAGAGCCCTGCAGGAGGGAGCGCTCTGTGGGGCGCTGCCCTGGCTGCGGAGCAGGAGGCCGTGGTGTGAGGGAGGAGGCCTTCGGGTGGCTCTGGGCCACAGTGCAGCCCTGATTCCCAGGCTGGGGACACCAGTCCTGGGGGGGCCACGGGGGCCGATCCAGGTGGCACGTGGTGCCGCACACCTGCCAGCCGGCGGGTGACAGAGTGCAATTTGATAGCTGTCGGTGACTGCGGTTCCCGGGCTGTCACCCAGGCTGCCATGACGCTGTGGCGCCATCTGCTCCTGCCAGTGACGGCTGTCGTCACGTGTCCGCCTGTCAGACTGTGGCCCCCGGCGGCCTCTGCGGGCGGGGCAGGCTCTCTCCCGGCCCTACTCTGGTCTTGCAAAGACAGCGGTGTGGGGCTCCCGTGAGAGGTTTGCGGGAACAAGAGGCACCTTCTCAAATGCTGTGCAGTGTTAAAACACGCAGAGTGTCGCTGGCTCCAACGGCAGAGGCCAAGGGAGCCAAGAGGCGCTAAACAGCTCAGCTGCAACCACACCCTGGGAGCAGGAGGTGCTGAGCCCTGGAGAGAACTCGCACTTCCCAGGGATCTTCCCAAAATAGCGGGGCAGCAGCCGCCCCGCCCCCACCGTCAGCCCCCAGCCCAGGCAGCCTGTCCAACAGGACTCTGGGGCCGAGGGCCACAGGCAGCCACCCTTGGGGGGAAGACTGACACCCCAGGCTGGCTCCAGTGACCAAGTGAGCCCCAGAAAGAGGAATCTGGGCTGCAGACAGGCTGACCAGCTTCCGAGCGTGGGACCTGGCAGCAGCCACGGAGGGGCTGCCCGTCCCAGGTCACAGGTGAGAAGAGGGCCCCAGGGGCCCGTGGCCAAGCTGGCCGCAGGGAGGAGACTGCCCACATCAGCCTTACCCCGGGCCCAAGGCCAGCCCTGCGGTCTGGGCCGCACGCAGTGGCTCTGGCAGGGGGACCGGGTTTCTGCTCTGCTGCAGGGACCGGCAGGCTCTCGGAGCCATGGGGCTGGCCACAGCAGAGCACCCGCCAGAGCCACACCCAGGGCACCCTGCCCTCCAGCCGAAGCACGGGGGAGGGTCTTGGGCCAGGCCCTTGGGTGGGCGGGCCTTGGGCCCAGGGAGGAAGCACAGCCCCATGGCTCTGACTTCTCTCCCTGAAACGGCTGACCAGCTGCTCGCCGGGGCCTGGGAGCCTCTGCGGCCAGGAGGACTAGGAGGAGGGCAGCCATCCCAGGAGGCTGCGCTTTCTTGCTGAAGCGGGAGTCCCTCCGACACCAGAGGAGGAGATTTATTCCTTTAATTACTCTCCATCCAAGTGGGCTGCTGGTCAGTGGGCAGGGTGCGGGCAGGGATCAACCGCCCTCCTGGCAGTGAGGCGCTGGCCACTCAAAGGGGGCCCAGGCAGTGCAGGCCGGGTGGGTGGGGCCTCAGTGGGCTCTGGCTCCGTCCTGCCCTGTCCGCTGGCCTAGCCCCGAAGCTGGGAGTCCTGAGCCCAGGCCTGCCCCTTGGAGGCCACCAGGGCTGGGCAGGTCGGCAGGGTGGCCGCTGTCGCCAACACAGGCACGTCCCAGGAAGAGGCCTCCTGGGACCCCGACCCCACCCTCCTCACCTCACTGCCCGGAGGCTGGTGCTGGGGAGGGCGGCTGCCTCCGAGTGCCCGCCCCGCCCAAGGCTGCGGCCTTCTAGCTCTGGGGCCCGAGGTCTCCGCAGCAGGGCCCGCTGCCGGAGGAGGGCTGTCTTGACCCTGCATGGTGCCCTGTGGGCAGACCCTGACCGCAGCCCCGTGAGGAGGCATGGCCGCTCCCTGCGCCTGCTCCCGCCCTCAGCAAAGGGATGGGGAAACTGAGGCACACGGGCAGGTGGAACCACGGCTGCTCGGCCACCTAGTGCCTCTGCAGGGAAGGCGGGGCACATAGGCCCTGGGGGCCCCGTGGGCGGAGAGGCTCAGGCAACTCCTCCCCTGCTCCTCTGGGTGCTGCGGGGCTGGGAGCCTCTGCCATCCCACGCAAGCCGGCAATCTGCCCCCTTTTTCTGACAGGAAAAAAAGGGGGTAAAATTAGACTAAAACCAAGGTATTTTTCTGGTTAATTTGTGCGACAAGCGAGCCCAAAGCACTTCATCCCGTCAGCCCGCCTCCCCCGCCGCGGGGGTGTGTGGCAGCGGGGCCTCCTGACGCAGTGGGGGTGTGGCCAATGCAACTGCGGTGCCGTGGCCCCAGGTGTTTGCTCGCCTGTCCCTGTTTACTGTACCTGGTCCATCTCCCTTGTCCAGGAGTGAAACACGGAAAATCAGGGGCTGCTTAGCCAAGCAAGAACCGCTGGCTGCCTGCGGGGCCTCCCCTGGGGACAGGCTGTGAGGCCTCCCACAGCCGCCGAGCCTGCCCCACCACCTGGCTGGACATCAGTGCCACAGCCAAGGCATTGTGGGCACTGGGGGTTGAACGAGTGCCGGTCGGGACGTGGCCTGCTGGGGACTGCACACTTGGATGGGGCCCCGGGGCCGTCCGGACACACCACCAGGGAGCCTCACCTGTGCGCAGGAGGGGCCTGCCGCCTCCCTCGCCGCTGGGCCGGCCGTCGGTCTTGGAGAGCTTGTTGGCCGACACCTTGTAGAGCACCCCTCCAATGCAGCGGAAGCCCCTGTCCCGCCACCGAGGGGGGCCGGGCTGGGCTTTCGCCCCGCTGCGGGCATGGCGCAGGCGGCTTAGCATCAGGGACCTGCAGACACAGGGACATGCCAGTTAGACAGGCCCCAGGGCCCCAGGCAGGAGACCTGTCCCCTGCCCTCCACACCACAGGAGGTGGCACCTCACTGGGGCTGGGACCATGGGAACCCCTGAAGGGTCAGGGGGAAGGGACAAGCCCCCCCTCTGACATGTGCCCCCCTGGGACATGACTGCCCAGGCCCGGGAGGGGGCCCCCCCAGACACCACGCACCCCATGGGGTCAGCCCCAGGCCCCACCCTGCTCAGGGCTGCCCGGGAGGCACCACAGTGGTCCTAAAAGTTGTCCTGGCTGACTTGCTCTCCCCGGCTGTCACATGGGCAGGCTGCCACCAAGATGAGGGGACGGGGAGTGTTCAGGGTGACCAGGCAGCTTCCTGACTCCAGAAGGGCCCATGGAGCTTACCCCTCAGAGCAAATTTCAGCAGCAATTTGTTTATGCAAATTGAGCTTAATTCCACATCAGCTCAGACTCTGTTCACACGCTCTTCCCACTGAACCCCTGGTGCCCCGCTGGCCAATCTGGACAGAGGGGCACGGATGTCCCGTGTCCTCGCTGCTTCTCCCTGAAGAGAGCTGCTACTCAGGGCGCCACAGGGGAACCGGCCGCAGTGGCAAAGTGAGGACAAGGGTCTGAGCCCTGCTGGGCCTGCCTTGGGTACTCATGGTGGGTCCCCCACAAGTCTGCACGTGGACCCCCAACTCCACCTTGGGCAGCAGAAAGCCCTTTCCTAGTCACCCAGGGACGAGGAGGGGCACCCGGGTGGGGTTCTGATGAGTGCCGGGGACAGGCAGCGCTGGGCACCCAGGCGGACCCGCCCGGAAATGAGCGACTGGGTCCAGTCCCTGCTTCTCAGACACAGCTGCCCCCCCCCCGCGGCTCTGCCACCCCTCTGGTCCTCGGTCCCTCTGTCTGAAAGCGTTGCCAGCTGCAGCCCCCCAGGGCCCACTGGAGAGTTCTTTTCTTTTTATTTATTTTTATTTATTTGCTTTTAGAGAAAAGGGAAGGGAGGGAGAAAGAGAGAGGAACATCCGTGTGTGGTGGCCTCTTATGTGGCCCCCACTGGGGACCTGCCCTGCAACCCAGGCATGTGCCCTGACTGGGAATCGAACCAGTGACCCTTTGGTTTGAAGCCCAAGCTCAATCCACTGAACTGCCCAGCCAGGGCCCGCTGGAGAGTTAACAGGAGCCGGGAGCGGCTCTGGGCCCCCAGCTTCGGGGTAAATGCAAACGCAGGCGGGAAGAGCGTGGCCTCCCACGTGGAAGCACTTGACCCAGTTTCCCTTAATTAAAATTCAGGTTCAGGAACACCAATCTTGGAGGAAGTGGTAGAGCCCAGGCCATCCCTGCAGGCACCCCAGCTGCCCCATGCCTGGGGGGGCAGCTGGGCCTCCAGGCCCTCTGCAGACCTTGGGGCGCCTCCTCAGCCAGGCCATGGGGTGAGGAGAGGGGCTGGGCTGGTAGGGGTCCGCTCCCTCGCCAGCCCCTCCCTGCAGAACCCTATCAGCCCTCGGGGCTCAGAGGGAGCTGTGGACCCTCTGCAGGAGCCGTGGCCTCTGTTCTTGGGGCGCAGCTCGGCCGGACTCCTAATTCTCACAAGCCTGAGCTGAGCTCCGGCCAGTGGCCATCATGGCTGGTCCAGCTCGAGCCTGAAAAGTGCCTGGGAGCCCTGGGCACCTCCTGGGAGACCTGCCTGGTGTCACACAGGGCGGCCTGGAGACACCAGGCAAACCCACAAGACTCAGGGACCGTTGGCTGGGCCCTGGCGGGGAGGGGGGTGGGGAGGCCCTGTCTGTGGGACAACGGTTCGGCCTGAAGGTGCACCGAACCCCCTGGCTGGTGTCCAGCTCCAGGCCTGTGGCACTCGCGCCAGCGGCCCACCGCCCCTCACTGTCGTGGGCGTCACAGTACTCCAGCAAACTGTCACCTGATGCAGAGGACAGCCTTCGGGAGCGAACAATATTGAGAAGAGAGGGTGAAATTAATGAAATAATAGGGGGCCAGGGACCTGGGGAAGGCACCTCCCCTTGCCAAGGGCCCGGCAATTCCTTTTCTGTGACTGTAGCCTCAGATCTAAAGGGTTCTCCGGGCTGGCCCGGGCCGCCAGGAAATTTCATTAACGCTGGAAAATAGGAAAGGTATTAAGCGTGGATAATGAAGGCCAGGGAGGGAGCCGTGCCTTCAGATGGTCCTCTTTCTCGCCTTTGTAATGGGAGGCATGAACTTCCCCTCAAATCCATTTCTAATCCATTTGAAATACTACAGCAAATTATCTTCCCTTCAGCCCAAAAGCGGCCAGCCAATTTACTCCGATAGAAGTGACAATGCCCCAGGATTTATCACCATAACCTTGACTACACCGGGTGAGCGCTGGGTGCCCCTCGGCCCCGCGGGGCAGGAAGGGCGGGAGGGGGATAACACTTTGAATGAGAAGTGGTGGCGACGGGGAGGAAGGTGCGCACGTGACCACAGCCAGCCAGAGCAGCTGCCCGAACGGCACGCCGTCCCACAGGCCAGGGGCTCTGCAGGCTGCGGCCCCGCCCGCTGTGCCCAGGGTGGGGATGGCAGTGGGCTCAGGGCAGGCTGTGCCGGGAAGTGGAGTGGAAGACACCAGGGAAGAGACACCCAGAGAGAGGGTCAGGATCTGCACAGACGGGCGCTTTCCCCCGAGAGGCCCGGTGTGCCCCATCTGCCAGGCCTCCCCCGCCCTCCACAGGTCTGTCCTGGGCCCCCAGGCTCTGCTCGTCCAGCCCTTCCCTGGCACAGTGCCCCAGTCCCAGTGGCAGCCTGGCACCCTCCTCCTTCGGACCCCGCACCTGCCAAGGTGTGCTGCCTTTCCACACAGAGTGCCTGAGCACGAGTGCGGCCAGCGGGCTGAGGCTTGGGCACCTGTGGGGAAACTGGGGCCACAGGTGCAGCTGCTGGCAGGGGACTCCACAGGGCTCTCAGGTGGGGTTCGACCTCTAACCACCCCCTTGGCTGGGGCACGGTCGGTGAGTGGCCAGGCCGCTCAGGCGGTGGTGGTGGTGACGGGCAGGAGGTGGGCAGGCTGGCGGGGAGCAGAGAAAACCGCCGGGGAAGCGTTTTTCCAGGGAACGGAGCGCGGTTTGCAGTTTGCGCAGCTCCGGGAGAGCAGGGAGTGCGCTGTCAGCAGGAGCAGGAGGCAGCTCCGCGCAGCAAACTCCAAGTAGGTCAGGCCCAGCCGCTGCCGTGACGAGCTGCACGCTGCTTAAGTGCACTTTCCACGGAAACGCTGATGGTGCCCTGGGGGCCCACCCCCGCCCCCTCCCTGGGGCCCCAGCCCCTGGGCCAGTGCAACCTCTGCCTGGCGGGGAGGTGGCATGAGCCCAGAGCCCCTCTTAGACGGACCCCCCAGCTCAGGGCCAGCACAGCACAGGGCTGCTCGCCTCCAGAGCCAGCAGGCACGCTGGGCAGTCTGCAGGGCAGCTGCTCACAGTTCTGGAGGGAAGACAGAGCCCCTAGGGCGCGCAGCGCTTGTGGCCCGTGAGGGGAGCGGGAACACCACAGTGCAGAAGGAATGTACCTGGGGGACCTGAGCAGGCCTCGCAGGGGCCCAAGAAACGGGGCTCAGTGGCCAGGGACCCCTCGGACGGATGGCACAGGCCTCACGGTGGTTGTAGCCAGCTGGTGTCTCTTCTCCTGGGTGTGGCCCACCCTGCAGCCGTTCCCCTGCGGTGGCCCAGCTCTGTGTGCCCACTTCCTGCCTTTCCCTGCCAGCCACCTGGGGACAGAGGCGTGCTGCCTGTGAGGGGCTGTGTGACCAAGAGGGGAACCGGAGGGCGAGGGTCACCCGAAGGCTTCCTCAGGTGCCGTCCCTGCCCGCCTGCCCCAGGGAAAGGGCAGCAGTGCCTCCGGTGCCCCGTGCCGCGTCCGCCACACGCACTGCAGCCCTGGCGGGAGGGCCAGGCTGCTTTATGTGCTCACGTCTATTCAATCGGTGCTCCGATCAATGGATGCATTACAAGCTTTCCCTTTAAGAGCCTAATAAACAACAAGATGGAAAGTAAAATTCTCCATAAAATGACACTTTTAAAAATCCATTTCGGCTGGAGCTATTGGTGTTTTGTACGTTAGCTGCAAAAAACAGGGACTACTGTGTCTTAATGGCCCCACGAGGGAGTGCAGAGTTCAGCCCGAGGGGCAGGGGGGCAGGCCCAGCACGAGGCAGGGCCCGGACTCCTGCACCCAGGTAGCCCCTCCAGGCTGGGTCCTCAGCCCAGGATCCCCTTGGCCCGAGCAGGCTGCCGAGGGGCAGGACTGACCCTTCCCCTGCTCCCTGGTCCCCATCTCTCCCTCCCTCTAGCACCCCTCCTCTTCCTACCTTCCTTTGGTCTCTCTGTCCCCCACCCCCATCCAGCCTTGGTCACTGCCAGTCCCCCTGGTCCCCAGGACCACCTGCCAGGGCCTCCCCACTGGGGGCCTGCCCCAGATTGGCCGGCTCAGGCACTGCAGCTCCTGCCCAGAGTTCCCCAGGAAGACCTCGGGAGGTCCAGGACTCCCTGGCTCCCAGCTCCCTGGGACCTGGGTGCCAGTCCCTATGGGCGGTCTGTCCTTCCCCCATCCTCCCAACCGCAGTGCAGGCCTGGGGGGGCCCCGGCCCAAAACCCAGGGGCACCTCCTCAGGCCGGACCCACCCACCACCCCGGGGGGCCTGCACCCATTCACAGGGCAGGCCCTCCTCTGTGCCCCACCCCCCCGAGACTGCACTCTGCTCTCACTCTCACCTGCAGGCTGCGGGCACCCAGCCCAGAGCACACCTGAGACCTGCTGGCCAAGGCCACTGCGAAAGCCCAGCCACTGTGGCCTTGGCAGCGGGGCCTCCTCTCATTGGCTCGGTGAGCACCCCAGGCCCTCTGCCCTCACAGTCCGTACTGTCAGCTGAGAGCCCACCCAACCTGGACTGGCTGGGTTCCAGCCCATGGCCACGGCCACCATCTGCTCTGCGAGTGCCTCTGTCCACCTGGAGCAGCAAG